GGTTTCCTCCATACACAGTGCTCAGAATTAAAGTCAAAGCAGTCAGTTCCATCAGACCTGCAAGTGTTGTTTATCACAGTTTGACTTGATTTTAAGTGCAAAGAAAATGTTTAAATTCTGTTCTTGCGTTGCCATCATGTGGTATTAAGTGTAGATTAATGCGATAAAAGGAATTTAACAATTAATAGGTCAAAGAAAGTCAAGAGGTCACAATTATTATGTAGAATGCAATGCAAATGAGATGTTGCGTCAGTGTGACTTCCTGTGTACTAATGTTGTAGACTAGTCTCCTTTTCTTCTTTATACTATTTTAATCTGCAGTCTTACATCATTATGTCCTCTTCTCTATTTTATGTAATTGTCAACCATACTGAAAATCTCTGAGATTTAATTAACATCAGGCTGTTCATTGGGGTCTGTTTGGTTCCAAGAGATCAGTATGTGAGATGCACTTGACATCTGAGCTTCATATTTGTGTTCGCTCAGATGGATGGAGGCCTGCTTAGAGGAGGACTTGCCGCCTACCACAGAACTGGAGGAAAGACTTAGGAATGGGGTCTACCTTGGCAAGCTCGCCAATTTTTTTGCACCAAAAATGGTGTCAGAGAAAAGGATCTATGACCGAGATCAGTCCCGTTATAAGGTAAGGCTTCTCTTCTTTTACTGAACTTGTTTAAGAAAAGTCAATAAAAACTTTGAACTTTCAGATTGCATCATAAAAGGCAGAATGACTGTTTCCCAGGTACTTCCTGGCAGTTAAAAGCAGTTTTAAACCGGAAAGAGGGAGATGTGACAGGCCAGTGTTGAGGGCTAACTGTAAGCTGTTGCAGCTGTTCTGCTGCTACACTAAAGTATAGATATGTTTGTATTTGCCATATTATACTCAGGGCTCGATATGAGATTTGGCCATCAGACCAGCTCAGCTCTTGCACATATTTTATGCTTTGTAATAAATCCTTAAATATAAATGCTCATTTTTTTTGCAGTTCATCCCTTTAAATATCTGTGCTTCTGTGGTTATCTTTAGAGTAAAGGACTGCACTTCAGACACACTGACAACACAGTGCAGTGGCTCAGAGCCATGGAGTCAGTGGGCCTCCCTAAGGTAAGGGGCTTGTACAGCTGTTGAAGACACTTTAAGTTCTCTTTCACATTTGTCACACTTTAATTGGAACGATCTGAAATGCGAGAACATGACTGAGAAAATGCCATAACTGAAGTTAACGATGCATAAATGCAGGTTAATGTGATCATGCAATCATTAAAAATGTTTTTTTT